CAGGTAAAAAAGATTTGGCAACCCTAGTACCGTATCAATACTTAAACAACTACGGGCGGCTCTAAAAACCACTTCATGGTATGCGGAAGCACCAGAAACATGGGTCAGCCAGATTGCAAGGGTAGTTTCTATGTACCATTGTGGACGTAGACCCCTTTCTGTATTAGTCTTTAAGAAACGCAACTGAATCTGCTCTATAACGACTGCCACTGCCAACATGGAATAGTTATGTCCTAAAGGTTCCTGAAAGCTATGCCATGGGCCTTGGAGACTTAAGTATTGAGCATGTGCAGGAGGTGTTCCTGGGTCCTTCTTTCTTACCAGTCACTGCGGGTGGCACAGTGCGGCGGAGAGCAGTAACGGTTGCCATGGCAATCTCCTCAGCGGAGTATTTCTTGGTGCAGGCATGGCCGGGCGTCACCATGTTTGGCTTGAGCAGAGATCCCTCCAGGTAGACGTGGTGGTCGCTCAGGGCCTTGTACACAGCAGCCAGAACCTGAGCAAGGCGGAAGGAACAGAAGGTGGCACTGGGACGCATTTGTACGTAAGAAAAGAGTCCACTCCTATCTTCTCATCCTTGAGGGGGGCCAGGGAGGGGAGATCACGCCCACTTAAATGACTAAGCTCCTCCCTCTCGTTCCTCACCTTCTCTGTCACATACTGGCAGCGTTTGAGATCGTGGTCACCATCGGGAAGGATTTCAGGTTCCACAATAGGAACGATCCCGTTCTGGAGGATAAGCCAAAGAAAGCAGGGAAGAAAGATTAGGTAACATAGCGGTAAAGACACATGCAGTTTGTTCATCTTAATGGTTCGGAATCTCTGCAGAATGCCCCAGTGTTCCAACTGAATGCCAAAACATTAATGCAACTCAGGGAGGACATGTTTCAGCCTGTTATGAGAGTTCCCTCCCATTGTTAAGTCTAGAGAACAAACAAAAAGAAAAAGAAAAGAAAAGGGGAAAACACCATATATAACCAGCAATGGCTCTGAGATGGCTGGTCAAAAAAAACCCCTTGTGGTTGCTCGTCTGCTGTTCAAATTCTTTGCTGCCCTCTTGTAGCAACACGTAGGGATTGCAGTTACAGAAGATGGCCTCCACCCATTGGCAACCCAAGGACACTCTTATGTCCTTGGGAAATTTTTCCAGAGTGGCCTCTGGTGAAGACTGTTCATCTGCCAGCTCAATACCACCCCTTTGCAATGCACAGATTTCTGTGACAGCGTGTCAGGAGCTGCCCCTGTCTGCCCACCAAACTACACAACATATAGATCTGATGAATCTGGCTTCTCCTAATCATCCTCCACTTGATTGGCAGCTGCTCCCACAAGGTCTCTAGCTGAGGCTTTCCCCAGCCCTGCTACCGGAGACCTTGTCTAAGCAGATATACCAGGGACAGAACCTACAGTGTTCTCCAAGCTCTACCACTCAGCTATGGCTTGCCTGTGTTCTCTGTGGGCACTGGCTCTTATGGGTC